TTTTTTTTTTTTTTTTTTTTTTTTTTTGTTGCTAAACCACCAAAACTTCATTCCATTATTTCAACTTTTTCACGTGTTAAATGCATAACTTATCAAAAAATCCCAAGCGACTCGAATTACTCATCTTACTTTTCAAGACTTATTTTCATTATTTAAGAAGCCCAAACACAAGCATGTTCTTCACATTCTCTCTCCCAAAATCTCTCTTAAGTTGACCTTGTTCATAGTTTTCTACACAAAAATGAAGGTGAAGATGTTCTTAGATTCATTTTTGAGGGTACCCCTCTTGCTTGGAGACAAGCTACAAAATGAAGTACTAACTTTGGAGGAAGTGGAATCAAATAGTTTTCACAATTCTTGCACTTCACCAAAAATTTCTTTCCTCCAAGCCACTTTCAATCTCATGAATACTCTATCAGGTTCAAACATCATATCTTATCCAAAACCTAAATTTGTGTGGATAATATGAACTCAACAAACAACACATTTTTTAGTTTTTTAGTTGACTTCTTAACAATTTGGTTGATTGTTGCATTTTTCAGGAGTTGGGATTCTATCCGTTCCCTACGCACTCGCGTCGGGCGGATGGCTAAGTCTAATCCTCCTCTTCATGATCGCTTTGGCAACGTTTTACACCGGACTGCTGATCCAGCGATGTATGGATGCCAAGTCTGATATAACAACATATCCAGAGGTTGGAGAGCTTGCATTTGGAAGGAATGGGAAGTTAATAGTATCAGTTTTCATGTATGTTGAGCTCTACTTGGTTGCCACAGGGTTTCTAATTCTTGAAGGTGATAACTTGAACAACATGTTCCCTAATGTGGAGTTTGAACTTCTTGGCTTTATGATTTCTGGGCAAGCTTTCTTTGTCATCGTTGTTGCTCTCGTTATCTTGCCATCGGTTTGGCTTGATAACTTGAGTCTTTTGTCTTACATATCGGCTAGCGGAGTGCTTGGGTCGGCTGTTATCATTGGCTCGGTTTTTTGGTGTGGTGTCTTTGATGGAATTGGATTCCAACAGAAAGGAACTCTCATCAACTGGAAAGGGATTTCAAACTCTATCAGTTTGTATGCCTTTTGTTATTGTGCTCATCCGGTTTTCCCAACGTTGTACACTTCCATGAAGAACAAACGCCAATTCTCCAATGTAAGTGCAAACAAATTTCCTTTTTCAATTATGTTCTTCCTCAAGTTTTGTTAAAGATGAACGACTAGTTCAAAAAGCCATAACTTTACCCTTTTCTCGTCTACCGCTAATAGATATTGTCCTTTTTGGATTTTCCCTTCCGGGCTTCTACTCAAGATTTTAAAAACGTGTCTGTTAGGGAAAGATTTCCACACCCTTACAAAAAATGTTTTGTTCTCCTCCCCAACCAATGTTTGATCTCACAATTCACCTTCCATAGGGGCCCAGCTTCCTCGCTGGCATTCGTTCTTTTCTCGATGTGGGACCCCTCAATCTATCCCCTTCGGGGCCCAACATCCTTGCTGACACACAGCCTCGTGTCCACTTCCTTTAGAGCTTAGCCTCCTCACTGGCACATCGCCCCGTGTTTGGCTCTGATACCATTTACCCAAGCCCACCCCTAGCAGATATGGTCCTTTTTGAGCTGTCCCATTTCGGACTTCCTCTCAAGGTTTAAAACGTGTTTGCTGAAGAGAAATTTCTTTACCCTTGTAAAGAATGCTTTGTTCACATCGACTTTTTCGTAATCCATTTGACTGTTTCTACTTGTGCAGGTTCTAACTTTCTGCTTCATCATCTGCACTTTTGGCTATGCCTCCATGGCTGTAATGGGATACGCCATGTTTGGGTCAGACATCAAATCACAAATAACCTTAAATCTTCCGACAGGAAAAATCAGCTCTTTGGTTGCAATCTACACAACATTAGTAAACCCCATATGCAAATATGCATTAATGACTGTTCCAATTGTGAATGCCATCAAGAATCGGTTTCCAATGAACTACAACACAAAGCCCTTGTCAATGCTAATCAGTACCACCTTGTTGGTCAGCAATATCATTGTTGCTCTTGCAATTCCATTTTTTGGCTCTCTGATGTCGCTAGTCGGAGCGTTTCTGAGTGTGACTGCTTCGATTATACTGCCGTGCGTGTGTTACTTGAAGATATCGGGGAATTACAAGAGGTTCGGATTGGAGACGGTGATAATAAGTGGAATCATATTGATAGGCGTTGTAGCTGCCATTGTTGGCACATATGTAGCTATTGTAGAAATTGTAGGACAGATATAATTGATTGTTCTTCTTGATGCAACTGAAAATGATTGTATGTTTGATTGTGCAGTAGCATTTAATGAAGAAAAAAATCTCAAATAAAGAAAAAAATCTCAAATAAAGAATTTTTTTGAGTTAATGCTATTATTTTACCCTTTTGAGAGCTAAGATGGAATCCTTTGTGACGATCTGATCTTTTAAAACTCGACTGGACCATTACTATATGCATGCTATGAGTAAGTTTTAACTTCACAAAATATAAACATCTTGTCTATTAGAAATGCAAGGACTTCTTAACGAACGTATTAAAAACATTGAAATAAATGTATAAGTTAAACCCTTGACTATATCATGAATTATATAGCAACCAGAGTCAATCGACTGATGCTTTTGACAAAATGTTAAGCACTATAAATATCTACAAGTGGCTCCAGTGGAGTCAAGAATTACGTGCACATGCGAACGTGTCTTTCATTCCTAATGGGATCCAAAACCTATCTTTGGACTCTAGTTATTTTCATATGCTTGAGATGTTTATTTTGTACACACAAATCCCACTAGTCTCCTACCGATTTTGTAATCACTTGGACCATGTGGGTATGCATCGATTTCATATGTATTATCAAATTCTTACCCACCACCTCACAATATTATTGATGGGACCGTTGTAGAGTCATACCTATATAAATTATACCATATATGAAATTCTGAGTAGAAAACATCAATTATAATATATGATGCATCATACTAATCATTAGTAACGCTAGAGTTCTTTTTGTATCTTTGAACTTATGAGATTTTATTGAGTGCCTTAGAAGCCGTAGAAGGAAAATATGGGACCTGAGGAGAAAAAAATAGCAAAAAAATAAAATTTGTAAATGAAGTAATTAGAAGTTAAGCATTTGCATATGCAGGTTCAATCCATCAAGCAAATCATAAATGCCATCAGAATCAGCCCGACCATCAAAACCTGAGAAGAATTTGCGCAAAGAGCCACCAACTTCCACGCAACTCTCCCCTGCCATCTTTTTTATCCCTCCATCTTTCATGGCCCTCCGGCAATCTGCTGCCTGTTTCCACATCCCAACTTCCGCAAACATGTTTGCAACCATCACCACATTCCCGCCCCTCTTCGGCTCGAGCTCAAGCAGCCTCTTCTTCGCCTCCTCCACAACCTGAGCACCACCATCTACATCGCGAGCACTGCACGCACTCAACAATGTCCTCCACACAATTGGATCAGGCTCCACAGGCATCCTCATGATGAACTCATAAGCCTCCTTGACTCTACCTGCACGACATAAAACATCCACCATCGACCCGTAATGTATCATCATCGGCTTAATCCTGTACACTCTCTCCATAATGTTGAAGTAATGGTATCCTTTATCCACCAATCCAGCATGGCTGCAAGCGCATAGGACACCAATGAAAGTGACATAGTTAGGCGTCACAGAGGAGCTCATCATATTTGTGAAAAGCTCAATGGCTTCATTGGCAAATCCATGTTGGGCTAACCCCAAAATCATTGCACTCCACGTCCATACACTTCTCTGTTTCAAGCAATTGAATACAAGTCTAGCACATCCAACATCGCCAGATTTTGCATACATATCAACGAGGGCAGTGCCCAATTGAACATTCAAAACCATCCCCCTTTCCACCACTTGAGAATGAACCCATCTTCCTAAGCTTAAGTTACCAAGCTCTGCACAAGCTGATAATATAACCACCATTGTAGTCTCATCCGATTCAAAACCATGGTTACCCATTCTCAAAAAGTACTCAATAGCCTCATCAAAGCAAAAATTCTCAACACATGCTGTAATAACCGCATTCCATGAAACTAAAGTTCTTACAGACATTTCGTCGAATACCTTCCTCGCACCAGACATTCTTTTACAGGACCCATAGAAATTAATCAAAGTGTTCCGAACATAAACATCTAAATCTAAACCACACTTAATGGCATCAGCATGAAATTTCTTACCTTCTTGGAGCGTCGTGAGCGTGGCGCAGGCCTTGATAAGGAAGGGGAAGGTGAGATGATTGGGTCTGATTCCTCGTCTTCGCATTTCCTCAAATACCCAAATGGCCTCTCGTGGAGAATCGCTCGAGGCATATCCCCTGATGATGCAATTCCATGGCAAAGGAGAGAAATGAAGGTTGTAATGGAAGAGGAGAGAGCGAGCATAGCTAAGATTTCTGGAAGGCGATAGAGCAGCAAAGCGGAGGAGTTCAGTGGTGAGAAATGAGTCATTTTGGAGGCCAAAGACGATGATTTGAGAATGGATTTGAAATAGATGATTTGGTGAAGAACAGAGCTTGATAAGGGAGAGGAATTGATGCTTTCTGGAGAGGAAATTGGAATTGGAATTGTGGGCGTTGGGCGGGAAAATCTGATGAACGGCCGAGATCCGAAGTCGAACCATGCAACTCAAATTCGTGTGGCCTCAAGCTCCCAATTTGCGGACTTCTGCAAGCACAAAGGGTGCCCTTTAACTCTAGAATTGCACATCAAACTAGCAGACCACATGGAAATTTGAACGGATAGCCCAAGTCGAGACAATGACACCGGGCAGTTATCGTTGGCTTTAAATTTTTTTCCAATAAAATTGGAGGTTATTAAAAAATATCTATTAGAGAGAGATTTTTACACTACTATTATTAATAATGTTTTGTTCTCTTCTTTAATCGATGCAGATCTATTCCTTTCGAGGCCAACTTACTTGCTGACACTATTATTCTCTCTAATCGATATGCGACCTCACATGTACCATTTGTAATGGACTCAAGAACTTAAAAGTTCAGTATATTTGCTTGATAGTTTTAGTTTTTTTTTTTTTTTTTTAAATGAAGAATAGGTTGTACATTGTAATTATCCTATGTTGTGAATCCAAACTCAAAATTTTTGTGTTCGATTCAAATATGGATATATAACCATCTTACTTCTAACTTGCCACAATTACATTTATATAAGGTTAATGTGTTTCAAAGAAATTCAAAATATTTCAAAATAATTAAATTTCAAAGAAATTCAGTGAAATCCAAACTCACGTACCTAGCACATGAGACTACAACCACATTCACTACCACTTGAATAAATTGAATAAATAGCAATCTAACAAAGCTTCAAATGGAGAAATAACTGCATGGAGAATGCTCGAGCTCCAAATCTGAAAGAGGGTTTTGATTTAGTGTACGATACCAACACTAATCTCGTGGTTTCAATTGAGAATGAAATGGTTGGGAATGCTAAAAAAAACGTGCAATGTCTGACTACTTGCACAAATTGTTGCATACTTTATCCAACGCCTCAAGTTGTACACATTTTAGTCTTGATTTTCTGCATGATCTCATTAGTAGCTTGGACCAACTCTAAACCTATGAGTTTGTGTTCACCCACCTTATCCAATACATTGAGCACCTACAATATTTCTCATAAAGTGATTCGAACAATTTCATACCAAAAGTTTCTTGATAACTGTTATTATAAGTAAGTTTTACTTGAAGTTTCAACGATCGCTATAAGTTCTAATACATAGGCACATAGCATATTGTCTAAGGTTTAGTTTAGAATTCAGTCTAATCATTTGTCTAATCATCTCATTTCAACGGTCTCTATAAGTGATTCGAAATATTGTGTACCCAACCCCTTCTAAAGACTGAAAATTGATTCAAAGCAAGGATTCCTATCGGAGGCTATCGACTATGGTATCCCATGTAGCCTAACCACTTGTGTCCAACTATCCATTGTGTAGGTAGGCACTTATCGAAAAATGTTTGTCGATTTGGCAAGTCTATGGATGGACACTCATATCACTTTGTTGCCCTTAATTGTCCTTGAAAATCTCATATTAAAATATGTTGCTATGTTGTTCGATTTTCATTCTAGAATACTCAGATGTTATAAAAATCTCGTTATTCCTTGTCTTGATACCTTCACCTGATGATAGACTAGACATATACTCATGAATTTTGTTATGTTCTCCTTAATATTATGCCACAAGTACTACTACTTTAGATCTTGGTACATTTTAGTATCGCAAAAATACATAAAGAATGATGGGATACGAACTTCTATCAATATTTGGTTCCTAAACTCATCCTCCATCCACACATATAATTTGTTCATCAATAAAGCAAATTCATTTAAGTGAGTTTCATCTTGTTATTTGTAGAAAATTTTGTCATCCGATGTTACCTTTGCATATCATCAATGTATTTCTTCGGATTGATAAATCAAATCGTGATTCTACCGACCCAAATTGATTAAACAAAGGTAAGATCATAGATACGTGAGAAAGCTTTTTGGATGAAATAAAAAGTGAAGGCACTAGAAGTAGAGATACCGAAACCTAGTTGTTTGTGTCCAAAAACTGCAATTAAATATGCGTGTGAAACAAAGGGGGAAAAGTCATGTGACACAAATTGTCTTGTCTTGTTTGTTTGTATTATCCACTTGTTGACGTAATCAATGACGTGGCAGATTAAGAAAAATTCTTTTTCTACTCTCTTTTCCTTCCTCTTTAATTACCGATGGAGACAAGTTGGGTGCCTTCAATTTCTCTCCATGATATAAGCTTCATCCATCTTATCTGTAACTTTCATTTCCCTCTTTATTGTTTTATTTTCATTTTCAACCAAACAATCTCGTGGTTATGCCACAAATCTTAATTTTATTTAACATAATTTGGGTTAGGAGTGAAACTTGAATGCATTTAATACAACACCATTTACAATGCTTTATTATTCTTATTGTTTTAGTTATGGTTATAAATTGAAATGTATGAGGTGAGAACACACTTATAATTGTTTTCTTTTCCGATTAACATGGGATTTGGGACATCTCAAAAAGATTATTTTTTTACTTAAAAATTGGGCGGTTGAGTCCATGCGTGTGAAAATAAAAATGGGAAAGTGCGCTAAAAGTGGATTATAAAAGCTCTGAATTGAATTGGGGAAGTGCGGATCGGGAAAGCATGTGGAATTGGATATGGGCGGTGGGTTTGGGATTGTTGGGAGTTTGGGGATGGAAGATCTTGAATTGGATGTGGGTCACGCCGAAGAGGCTGGAGAAGTGCTTGCGACAGCAAGGTCTCGCCGGCAACTCTTATCGCCTTCTGTTTGGGGATTCCAAGGACACTGCCGCTGCCGTCCGCCAAGCAAGGACGCAGCCCATCAGCTTCTCCCATCGTATTGCTGCGCGCGCCACCCCTTCATCTCATATCACTATTGACCAATACGGTAACTCTTTATTGCAAATGATAACCCGATTCTTAATAATTGCTACCTTTATATCAAGGTTTGTCTTGAGACATGAAGTATTGTCATTTTATATTTGCCTCGTGGGAAAAATTTTGTATGAGAGATTTTGTAGATCGAGAATATGAAAAATAACATTTTGATTATAGTGACTGACTACCCTTCGTAGAATGTATGAAATTTATTCACTCTAAATTACAAAATCTTTGTGTCTATTTGTATAATTTTTGTTTACGAAGGTGTGAGTGCAATCAACCTTACTTCTACTTCTACTTTTACTTCTCCTACAATTTTGTACCGGTAATCCTTCCTGTAAGTTTGTTTACTAAATTTATAGGCAAGGATTCTTTCACATGGATTGGCCCATCTCCAAGGGTATATATAACACAGCCTGAACAAGTGAAGATGGTTTTCTCTCAAATCAATGATATTCGGAAGGCAACTTCGTTTCCGTTTAGAAGAAGAATAGGCGGTGGAGTCGTTTCTCTTGAAGGAGCTAAATGGGCTAAGCACAGAAAGATCATCAACCCTGCGTTTCACATGGAAAAGCTTAAGGTATACTTCTTTTAGTTATTAACTAATTTTACTAAATTTAATGATATCTTAAGAGAATAGTTTCGAAATCTTTACAGGATATGTTTCCAGCATTCTCCAAGAGTTGTAGCGAGATGATTAACAAATGGGAAATGATGATCACTAAAGAAGGGTGCTGTGAATTAGATGTATGGCCTGATTTACAAAATATGGCTGCAGATGTCATTTCTCGAACCGCATTTGGTAGTAGTTATGAGGAAGGTAAGAAGATCTTCCAGCTCTTGAAACAGTGGGCTTCCCTCTTGATGGCATATGTCATGAAAGGAGTTTACTTCCTTCCGGGTTTGAGGTAACATAAGCTTCGTATTCTCATTTATTTTAGTTCATAAATCTCATTTAGTTTACCACTCTTTGGATTTATATTCTAAGTTATTTTGGTTCATAATTCTCATTTAGTTCATAAGTTTTAGATTAATATTCTCATGAGAATTAGTATTGTTGTGCGTGGATAAAAGCTTTTTTAGCATTGTTTTGAGGGGTGGAGTCGTTGTCACTTTGTGTTTGCTGCAACCGGGAGAAATTTTGTTAAGAGACTTGTAAGAGTGAGAAATACACTTGTAAACACTTTAATTATAGAAATTGGCTACCACTCGTGGAAGTAGGGGAATTTCTTTTCTTCGAATCACGTAAATCTTTGTATTTCTTCATTTACTTTCTGTTTGTGGATGTGTGTGTGATCGATCTTGCTTCCGCTTTCGTTACAACAATTAGATATCATAACATTTTTTGTCGTGGCATTAGGATACAATAATAGGTACCTGTTTTATTTTTATTTTTTTGGGGTGCAATCTTTGGATTGACAAATTGTGTAAAACATAAACATTGTATACTTTTTAGGTTTCTTCCAACTAAGTTGAACAAGAGGATGGATGAGATTAATGGCAAAATACGAGACATGATTTGGGGTATTATAAGCAAAAGACAAAATGCTATGAAGAAAGGTGAAGCTTCCAATGATGATTTGTTGGGCATCCTCTTAGAATCAAATTCACGTGAGATTCAAGAACACAAAAACAAGAAAGATGTTGGAATGAGTATCGAAGAAGTAATTGCTGAATGCAGGCTTTTCTATTTTGCTGGTCAAGAAACCACAGCAGCTTTGCTTGCTTGGACGATGGTTCTACTTGGTCGATACTCCGAGTGGCAAGATCGAGCAAGAGCGGAAGTCCTTGAGGTCTTTGGTGATAATAAAAAACTTGATTTTGATGGTCTAAGTCGTCTTAAAGTTGTAAGTAATCGAGTCAAATACTTTTTTCTTTTTTTTTCTTTTGAAGTTTATTAATATTGTTATATTGATCTATCTTTTATTGATGTTAATAGGTTACTATGATACTAAACGAGGTTCTTAGACTATATCCTCCCGTTGGTATGCTAGCTCGAGAGATTCACAAGGAAACTAAGTTAGGGAATCTGACATTACCCGTTGGAGTATCAATAGGCATTCCAATTGTATGCATCCATCAAGATCCTACAATATGGGGAGAAGATGCGAGTGAGTTCAAGCCCGAGAGATTTGCCGAGGGGATTTCCAAAGCAACAAAGAATCAAGTATGCTTCATTCCTTTTGGATGGGGTCCTCGAATCTGTCTCGGTCAAAATTTTGCGATGATTGAAGCAAAAATAGCATTATCAATGATTTTGCAGCGATTCTCG